TATATGTCAGGAGGCACGGTGGAGTAGTGGATAGTGGAGAGCCGAGTTCGAATTCCAGTCGAATCCATTACATTCACTTACGTGCTAATACCCTTGGGAAAAGTATGAATCCTCTTTTTCTCCCTCCAGCTATGGGCAAATAGCAGGGCAGACTGGGTTCTATAGCCTTGGATAGCAACTGGTCTAGGAGAAGGACAACTCTGAATTCAAAACCTGTGGAGGGTCGTTTGGGGATCTTGTGGCACTTAGTGCACCAGGTCTCTGTATTCGGCCCTTCAAAAAGTGTGGATGGTTCTGCACAAAGACCTCACTACTATAATCAAATTATATGTGCTGGTGTCCGGCTGTCAGTTCCTAGGAACTGAACTGCTTGACCATCATACGTCGAATACGACGAGAGAGTCCCCCATATATATATATATATATATATATATATATATATATATGTGTGAAAGAGTGGGTTCTTCAGCCTTCTTTGCCAATCAGTTGAACTGGTTTAAGAGAAAGACAATTCTGAAATGAAAACCGGTTTTACTTGGCGCAATCGAAATCATCTCGTCAAAAAAACCTCCAAGCTATTGAAACCACAGCAACAACGACTAGTATATTGAAACTGTGGTCCCATATTCCATAGATGGCTTGTTGCGTGGCCGAGTGTTTAGAACGTTCGTTTTCTAATCATGAGACTCGGGTTCGAATCTCACCACGGTTGATTTGTCCGGAGGGGGCGATCCCAGCGTGCGGCACCTTTGTTGACCCAAGCCTTGTGAGTGAAATTGGGTAGACGGAACTCTTGCGGCCGTCGAGAGGTGTGCCTTGAAAGTCACAAGTCATCGTGACCGAGGGATTGAGTGGGCTGGTGTTGCTGATCAGGCGAGATAACATACTCTCTCCCAGCATAGTTGCAGTATAAACCACAGGTGGGCTCTGTGGGTGTTGAACAGACACATTTGCGTCTGCAATAAGGACTGCCTAGCCGCCTTAATAGGCCGGTATCCTCGAATACGTGTAGCTAGCTATTATATATATATATATATATATATATATATGTATATATATATTAAATAAGAACAGACCACTTTAAGGTTTCATGTAATCATGTAATAAATTATTTCAACAGAGCCCTTTACCTAGTTTTTCATAAACTAAATATTAGCTCCTTATATCTGGATTTTATCCTCCTTAGGTTTACCCATACGGATTACCTAGTTTTTTCATAAACTATATATATATATATATATATATATATATATATATATATATATATATATTCATACATGTTTCATTAAATAATATAGACAAGTCTATTTATTTGATGTATCAATATTGTGATTTTCTTTCTTCGTTTAATGATAATGTTATTAAGCTTATCAGACGTTATGAAAAGAATTTACATAAAATAAATTGACAACACTTGTCTATATTATTTAATGAAACATGTATGAATGAAAAATTACTGCCTAATACACACACAATATATATATATATATATATATATATATATATATATATATATATATGATATTAAAGAGAAGATAGTCCACGTATGGTTCCTGTAGCATATAGATACAGAAGGCTGATGAAAAACATTCGAGAGAAAATAAATAAAAACAAAAACTACAGTGTAAAGTAAAAAATGAACAGGAGGTTCAATGCGAAGGTGACAGATCCTCTAGGCGTATTTTAAAGTTTAGCTTTCTTTCTTACTATTTGTGTGTAATAACTCTCCGGTATGATTGTGCACTTTCACCTCTTAAAGCAACTATCTGAAGTTGGATTTACCCTGCGGATTTGTATATTATTAATTAATTAATTAATTAATTATCATTATTAATGAAATTATTATTCATGTAATGAAATCACGTAAAAATCGCCGAAAAAAAAACAAACTGCAGTAATGAAAACTTGGGAATCCAAAATCCGGATCTGGCTCGGAATGGTTTTCATTTGCTCACATTGTTGACCTGATTCCAAAATGATATGATATGTTGGGCTACGGCTTCTAGGAGTAATGTTAAAAACACAGACAGTCTTTATTTGAAACACTGTAATTTGAGAACAGTATTTTTTCATTTGAACATGCGCTATTGAAAGCTAGAGAGTTGTCTCCCTTTAAGTTGAAAAAGTTTGATACAAAGACATTCGCATTTATTATATAGATTAGTAGATCGTTTAACCAAATAGAAGCATGATGAGAAAAGATGTTGAAACTCGGAATTTTCGGACACGCCTGTCAACGCGAAATAAAATGAAGTTTTAATTTTTAGGGGGATTTTTTAGTGTCTATCCCGTCTTCGGTTTAGTAGCCATAAAAAAAAAAAAACTATCAAAGACAACATCGATTTCACTCTAGCTACACATTTCAACAATGTCGGGCCATGTTAGACGTGTTTTTGGGTGTCTACATTTAAATGACAACAGCCGAATTCAAAGACATTTTTGTTAAATAAATTAACACTTTCTAGGTTTAAATAGGGATTTAGCCATATTCAGCGACTAAATGAAAAAGAAAACATATCCGCTCTACCCATATCTAAGGATTTATGAAGAAATTACTAGAAATAGTATACCAGCATTAATCTATCTATCTATCTATCTATCTATCTATCTATCTATCTTGGTAGATATTTAAATCTCTAAGTTTCAATCACAGCTCTCTCTGTCTTTCTCTCTCTGTCTTTCTCTCTCTCTCTTTCTCTCTCTGTCTTTCTCTCTCTCTATATATATCTATCTATCACAGTATCTTCATATTTATCTCACAAAATGCATATATGTGAATCTACCTACCTCAGTATCTATCTATCTATCTTCGTAGATATTCAAATCTCTCAGTCTCAATCTCAGCTCTCTCCCCCCTCTCTCTCTCTATCTCTATCTATCTATCTATCTATCTATCTATCTATCTATCTATCTATCTATCACAGTCTCTTCATATCTGTCTATCTCACAAAATGCATATATGTGAATCTACTTACCTCAGTATCTATCTATCTATCTATCTTGGTAGATATTCAAATCTCTCAGTTTCAGTCTCAGCTCTCTCTGTCTCTGTCTCTGTCTCTGTCTCTCTCTCTATCTATCTATCTATCTATCTATCTATCACAGTCTCTTCATTTTAGTCTATCTCACAAAATGCCTACATGTGAATCTACCTACCTCAGTATCTATCTATCTATCTATCTATCTATCTATCTATCTATCTATCTCAGTCTGTTCATTATCTATCTATCTATCTATCTATCTATCTATCTATCTATCTATCCCAGTTATGTCATATCTGTCTATCTCTCTCGGTTGCTAAGTTAGCTCAATGGGTGTGTTCAAATCTCCCAGTTCCAGTCGTAACCATAATCGATCGAGCTCTCTACCTACCTCAGTTTGTTTATATTTCAATCTTGTTATCATCTATCGTAATGAAATAGGTTTTTAAAAGAATACCTTGGAAATATTTGTATGTACGTGCCTGAATGTATGCTTGGATATATATATATATATATTTAAATATTCATGAAGACCAACCCGACATTATTCGTAACATACTTGTTGACAACGCAAATATAATAGCATCATCTACATGCAAAATAAAATAAAATAAAACAACACTTAATATTTTCAACTATGAACATGGGCACAATACCTTGATCATGTTTTGAAAAATGAAAACATTATATAAATACATACATGCAACAAACTATTTCTTATTTAACAGTTAAAAATAGCCTAATGTATAGCCGAAACCGCTCGGATAAAAAGAACATTCGGACAGTTTTTATATCATTTATTTTCTGAAAAGAAAAAAATTATTAAATCGCATGAGAAATTGTATAAAAAAAAACTAAATCAAAGCACCTTGTCTGTCATTTTCAATGAAATGTGCATGAAGGAAGGATTGCTGCCTAAATAAACACAAATTATATATATATATGTATGTATGTATATATCAAGAAACATAGTTTTAAGGTGTGCTATTGTTGAAACTTGACTAATGCATGGAATAATAATGCAACACAAAATGTACTTAGAACAAAATGTATTGAAACAAGAAAGTGTACACAATATTTACATATAGTCTTTTGTATATTCCTGGTAAGACCGTTCCTGGAGAATGTGTTGACTGAGTCGCAGTCGGGCAGAATCTCTGGTTGAATCTCTTGATTCCTCCCTCTCTTCCCGGTACCAACCATATTTATATGGTCGGTACTCCACTATGCAATTTTAATTGGATCCTACGACAACATATATATATATATATATATATATATATATATATATATATATATGAGACAAGAGACCCGGGTTCGTATCTCAACAGGGTTGATTTGTCAGAAAAGGAGACTCCCTGATGTTATCGGTCTAGATGGGGGATGACATCAGGGCGCAGCACCTGAAAACCATACCACGGATTGGCCCAAGCTCTGTAAGTGAAACTGGGTAGACGGACTGTTACAGTTTTTGTGTATATATGTACATAACTAGTGAGCGAGTCAAAATGACTTATTTCCCTTTATAGTCTACCAATAGAAGATTAACCAATCAGAAGCCACAGAACACTGTATCCATCGTGTATAAAGGCAGCCATCTTTGTTTACCCTACCGGAATGACCAGAGCCAACTTGTCAGGCGAACACGACAGAAGGAAGAACGACACTCTGCTGTGATATCCACTGCGAACCTGAACTACGCTTTCCTACTGTCTCCGAAATATTCACTGCCAACCTCTGGATTCTATACTCGAAGACGATCGTCATGAAAATGTCTAACACGGACCACTCGGGGTCGTCGATAGCCAAATTAAAAGTCATCGTGACCGAGGGTTTATTCATTCTAGATAACCCAGAAACTAAGTTGCACTATAAACCACGGATTGGCTTTGTGGGTGTTGAACAAACCTCAGCGGAATCAGCTAGCCACCCTAGTAAACGGGCATCCTCGAATACGAGTGATCAGCTATTAATATTGTCCAGTCGTTAGATTAAGCTTTGACCGTTGTATCTTAGAATTGATTACAGATATACTGAAATTCTCCGATGTTTTTATAACATTATTAGACTCTACTTTGAGTAATTAAGAATGTATAATTAATCTCTAAGCTTAAATCGATCATTAACAAAAATGACATGTTCATCATTAATTAATCATAGCTAAGGATCTGGAGCAAATGAATGATTGAAATAAAGTATATATATATATATATATATATATATATATATATATATATATATATATGTGTGTGTGTGTGTGTGTGTGTGTTATCCAGGAATATTTTTCCAACTTATTCGAGGTGATCTCGCCCTCTCTAACCTTCTAACTTTCTGTTCTGTAGTAACAAGGTGACTCACACGTTTCACGTAGTATTTCATTTTCAAGTCTTTTATCACTGCTCTTTGGACTGTCAGAGCTGAAACTGTTCTCTCACGTGCCTAACGTCTGATAAATTGAGTTGGATCTTTTCTAATTGATCTATTTAACCCCAAGCTGAAATAATGATCCCTCTTCCTGTTGTGACCTCCTGATCCAGTTTTCCTCTCTACTGTTCTCTCTCTTTTTTTTTTTTAAACTTATTCACCTATCTCTTGATGGTTCTTGAAGGGAAGACGGAAACCAGTGTATGAATGTTGGTACTATTACTGAAGGTCTGAAAGATCCTTTTCCTCTCACCATTGCTCAGTTGGGTCTGACACAAAATGATTCTAACCTGCTCTTTTTTCTAGCTGAATAACTCTAAGATCTTGTCAGTGATTTTTACGACAAATGGCATCAATATGCCTAAACGTCATTTCTGAAAACCGGTAAAAAAGAAACCCAATTAGTTTAGCGTTTTTGTTTTTTAGATATTAAACATTTTGTGTGACGGACAGTTATCCCATAATGTTGTACGATTTGAATAATTCTGCTGTTACACCAGGTGCATGAATAGAAAAGTGGAGATTTAGGTCAACATACAGAGGCGAGAGTCTGTTTCATGTTCAAATGCAATCGTGGCCTAACGACTCCAGTTAAGCATGAAACAGACTATCGCCTGTGGGTGTTGAGCTAAATGTCCACTTTTAGATTTACTAAACTCTATCCTAGATATCGAGCACTTTAACACATAAATATAGAATACCTTAAAACTATATTTTTCTCATCTATCTATCTATCTATCTATCTATCTATCTATCTATCTATATTAATCCATTTATATGAACGATGTGTGCTTTGAATGACCCACAAAGGCCGTAAAAACAAATCTATCTATCTATCTATCTATCTATCTATCTATCTATCTATCTATCTATCTATCTATCTATCTCATTCATTTTCTATCTATCTATCTATCTATCTATCTATCTATCTATCTATCTATCTATCTATCTCATTCAGTTTCTATGTATGTATGTATCTATCTATCTATCTCATTTGGTTTCTATCTATCTATCTATCTATCTATCTATCTATCTATCTATCTATCTATCTCATTCAGTTTCTATGTATGTATATATCTATCTATCTATCTCATTCGGTTTCTATCTATCTATCCATTCAGTTTCTATGTATGTATGTATGTATGTATGTATCTATCTATCTATCTATCTATCTATCTATCTATCTATCTCATTCAGTTTCTATCTATCTATCTATCTATCTATCTATCTATCTATCTATCTATCTATCTATCTATCTATCTATCTATCCCATTCAGTTTCTATCTATCTATCTATCTATCTATCTATCTATCTATCTATCTATCTATCTCATTCAGTATCTATCTATCTATCTATCTATCTATCTATCTATCTATCTATCTATCTATCTATCTCAGTCTGCTTCTATATCGCTATATAGTCTCTACACCAGCTCTCTTAGTCTCTTTTTATTAAAAGACAGACATATCCCTCCAGGATATAAACTCGGTGTCCTTCTTCTAGACTTGTTAGCTTAAGGTGAGACAAGCCAGTGTTCTTTGCGGCAGAGTGGTGATGATGGCGGAAATGGGCTGGCCACGATTTATTCTTTGTCTTTAAGCCTTTCTCTTATCTAGTTCAGATCTTTACAGCTAAGACCTGCCATGGCATATACACAGGGTCGAATCCTCCTCGTTCGCTTCGTATTCCATTGGTAAGGAGGAAGTCCAATTCAGACACCTTCATCTGATACTCTGTGGAACAGACTACCAAGAGAATGTTTCACCGCATTCGCTACAACCTTAACCTCTGGCCGCCGTTATTTTATTTTCAGCCACCTCATTCAGTAACACTCAGCGTCAGCATACCATGTTCATAGTTTCTTTGTGGTCGTTGATGCCATGTTTTCCCCAGGTGCCATCGCCAGTCATCAACGGTTGTGTCACAAGATTCATTAGAAGGAGTGAGATAGCGTCAGGGTAATGTTGTACAAATGTCCTCACGTCTGAGATGGGACATGGACGGTTCAGTTTTACTTCTCCGTAATAAGGTAGACATAATCTGAAAATGGCAAAAAAAAAGAAGAAACGACCCCCCCAAAAAAAACAAAAACCCAGTGACCGTCCAGTTATTGCAAATGGCGACGCTTATATGTTCATAAAACTACACGGATCGATACGCCTATCTATTGACCGACTGAGCAGTCAACAGATTGGTCGTTGAATAGGTAGATATGAATAGATTGATTTTAATAAATATGCATATATATATATATATATATGTGTGTGTGTGTGTGTGTGTATGTGTGTGTGTGTGTGTGTGTGTATGTATGTATGTATGTATGTATACAAGAGAGAAAGAGAAAGATTGAACGAAAGCAACCGGGTATACGGTCTGTCTATACAAAGGCCGTCGAAATGTTAAATGGAATACGAATATGCGCATGCGCAAATATGCGCCTTTCAAAGGTGACTTCCCGCTTCGGAGCGGCGGTAGGAAATGATGCCAATTCGTAAAGAAATAACAAGATTAAGTAAATTCATTTATATAAACGAGGGGGTGCTGAAAATATTTCGGTCTGACCCACTTCCCCATATTTGAGCAAATGGCTCAAAATTAGTTTTATTTTATCTTTTAAAACTTTCTATGAGCTTTCTCACTTTCTATCTATCTATCTATCTATCGCCATCTATTCAATATATATGTATCTATCGCCATCTGTTCAATATCTATCTATCTATCTATTACCATATATTCAATATCTATCTATCTATCTATCTATCTATCTATCTATCTATCTATCATACAAGTGGAATAGAATTTTTATGCGTCGGGGAAATTCTTTTTTTTCCGAAGTAATCTTCACTTTGTACAATGCCCAAGAGTCACTCGAGGTAGAAGGTTACCGAGTAAGAGGCACGCTTTACGGAGATATGTGTGGAAAATAACCGTCAATCCCAGACTTGAGCAGGTTAAGATTGTATTGATCGTGGAAGCTTCTGCTTGGGGAGTCAGTTCCATTGATCCGAGAAAAGAATGTGGAACTCACACCAATGGAAGACGAATGGAATAAAGGTAGTTCGCTTCAATGTGTGGGTAGTACGGCAGGTCTTAGCTGCGAAGAGTAACACTGGATGAATTCGGGAATGTAGTGCCCCTCCACAATGAGACAGGATGGAACTAAGAACACGGGCAGTTAAGTGGTGGTTCCCAAGCATCGTAAAACCGCGAATTTTCCAATCAGAGGCCTTTCTGTCGGATGTAGTCTATCGTCATGCACAGGACGATTCACCTTAGTCTTACAAGTTATATATATATATATATATATATATATATATATATATGAATAAAAAATGACAATAGGAAAACTGGTAATTGCTGACGCGTTTTGTCCAATGTGGACTTTATCAAAGCAAAATACGTATTTTGCTTTGAAACGCGTCAGCAATTACCAGTTTTCTTATTATCATTTTTATTCATAAATATTTTCTTCTTTACTGGTTAAATCAGAGAAATTTTCTTATATATATATATATATATATATATATATATATATATATGGCCTGGCGATTGCATCTAGCATGAAACAGACAGTCTCCTCTAAGTGTTGGCCTTCTATGTTCACTTTTATATTTACACACGCTCTATCTCTGAGCACTTTATCCCATAAATATAGCACATCTTAAGATTATATTTCTTCATATATATACATATGTTTGTGTGTGTGTGTGTGTGTCTGTGTCTGTCTGTGTGTGTGTGTGTGTGTGTGTGTAAATATATAGAAACACAGGAAAGAACCGTTAGGTTAATAATCCAATGTTCTTTCGTATTTTTGTTTTTATTTTTAAAAAAAACAGTGCTCAATTCACAAGTAGAGCCTATATTATAATTATTATTTTAAAAATATGATTCCATCACTACATAAGAGTTCTCATGTTTCATATGTAGCGATGGAATCATATTTACTATATATATATATATATATATATATATATATATTTATATATATATATATATATATATATGTATGTATATATATATATATATATATATATATATATATATATATATGAGATTGATTGAGCTCTACCAATACTTGCTATAATCGGAATGCCTGCTTTGTGGGTTTTAGGTAGGCCATAAAGTGTGGATGTTCTAGAATGATGTTATATCAATTTAATTTAATTAATTGTTTTCATTACTAAGCATTCTTCTAATAGGTCTATCAAAAATCAATAGGTGTAAATAGGTTTGCCTATCGCCCAGTTCATACTTCTCCCTGTTATTTTGAACCGGAATAGAGGTTTTATCCCTTGTTTCCTGTTTAGGATTGGATGTCCGGCTCCTTCGAAAGTCTACTTCAACACTTCTAAATCTGAAATTTTATTTACTATTTATTTTCTACACAATAAGAGTAGAGACGTTCATCTACCGCCCGGTTCACACACCTCCTCGGTCTTTTGGACAGGAGTTGGAGTTTATCCCTTATTTCCTGTTTAGGATTTAGTTTCCGGTTCCTTCTAAAGTCTACTTCAACTCTATACTTCTAACATCTCTGCCTCAACTATGAAATTTTATTTACTATTTATTTATTTATTTTTTCTTTTCCTCAATAGGAGCAGATAGGTTCGCCTATAGTCCAGCTCACGCTCTTCCCTAGCCTTTGGTGCTTCTACTACTCATCTCAAGATCATCGAGAGTCTGATAAAGTAAGGAGCAAATAGGAAACGTTCATTAAGTTAACATGTTTCACTTTTAGTGAAGCTTCATCATAGAATAAAATATAGAGAAAAAGAAGAAAGTAATTCTGGTATTTTTACTTATGTGTTGTTTGATTTGCACTGGTTAAGTGTGTTTCACATGTATTTGACTTGTTAAACAAACGTTTGTATAATTTAATTTATTAATTTTAATAAAATAAATTTATGGTGTTCCGAATTTAATAAAAGTGAAGCGTGTTACATTGATTGCTTGGTTTGGTTTAATTTGTTTTACGGCATATCAACCACAATGGGTTATTTAATGCCGACAAGATTTTTATTGCTGGTAATTTTTTCCTAAATTTATTGCTGGTAATAATTTTTCTTTAAAACTTCACTGCGGGTAATAATTTTTTACGTTTCGTGATTTCCTGAATCCTTTGTTGTCCATTTTTCTCACTTATCTTCATTCTCTTTTCACTGCCTGTTACCTCCTGCGTCCTAGTGGCATCATCGCCTTCTTTGGGAAGAAATGGTTTAAGAAAAAACTTCCTTTGTTTGGGGTGGTGGTGTGAATTAACACAATTGAATATAAACATCTCCCTACCATATATATATATATATATATATATATATATATATATATATATATATATATATATATATATATCACATATATAGCTCTAGTGTTAATAAAACAGTACTCGATGCAATAAAATATATGTATATTTATTAATATCTCTCTTTCTCTCTCTCTCTCTCTCTCTCTCTCTCTCACTGTCTTTATACACACACACACACACATAAATATATATATATATGATTTAGTTTTTCCTCACGCTTATCTTATGTTGTTACGCGTCGCGGGAAGACACAGTCGTTTGTCAGCGGCAAGCCTAGTGGCCTGGAGGAGAGATATATCGTATGCTCAGATATATATATATATATATATATATATATATATATGTTTATACACTTATACATATATATAAAAGTGTATAAAAATCGCATATAATTAAAAATATATCTCTATGACTAAAGACAAAACCGTAAATTTTTTTCTTTACAGACGAATTGCGTTTCTGAAGGCTTTTATTAGGAAAAATTTACTCTAATAAAATTCATCCCAGGACTATATATATATATATATATATATATATATATATATATATATATATATATATATATATATATATATATATATATATATATATATATATCTATTGGTATATATTTCAAGTGAATCCTAATAATATAAAAATATTAAAACTGATCTACAAGGAGAGGTCTATGTATTTATTTTAACTAAGCATATAAAAGTAATTTTCTTTATTTAAACTAGATGTTAATATTTTAAAATGTAGGTCAATATAGGCCGCCGTGAAATTGGGTTTTACGCTATGTCAAGACGACCTGTTTCGTCCTCTGTAGTATTTTTTCTTACTACGTTTCGTTTTTTCATTTTTTCCTTTTACTTTTTCATATTTCTCTCTATTTTCTTTATTCGTTAAATGATTAAATTTTTAAGCTACGAATTTATTTTATTTCTTCATACTTCATTGTTGACAAATCCTGCAAATAATTACTTGTAGGATGAAATAGCTATTCAAACGAGGTAATTTTGGATTTTTTATATATATATATATATATATATATATATATATATATATATATATATATATATATGTGTTTACTTTTGTTTATGTATATACGCTACTGTATATAAATATATATATATAGATAAATAATATAAATAAATAATATAAATAACAATATCTATCTATCTATCTATATATCTATCTATATATATATATATATACAAATAAATACAAATAAATATAAATAAATAATGTAAATAACAAAATATATGTATTTTTTTCGTCTGTGTCTTCTTTAAATAACTTTATAATATTTTAAACTTAATACAGATTAAATTTAAAAAATATATATATATATATATATATATATATATATTTACATATATGAAGTAAAATATATACAGAAAAAACAAACAAAAATCCTTATATACAATTTATACTGTTTTAATGTTAATATGTCAACGTCGGACGTTTCGGTGTAATAAACCATCTTCAGGACATATTCATAAATTATAACATTATCAATACAACATGACAAAGACGATATAATGTTATATAATTTATAATATTTATAGTATAAATTGTATATAAGATCTTTGTTTGTTTTTTGCGTATATATTTTTCTTCATACTGTCAGATCTATATCCATATATTTGCTATATATATATATATATATATATATATATATATATATATATATATATATATATATGTTTTTATATAAAATATTTAAAATAAATAATAAATAAACTATTTCCACTATTGATAGGGATTTCCTTTCTCACCTTTGGTTTGATGTAGTGTGGAACGTGACCATC